AGACGGTATTCTTGCAAAGTGCATTTGCCAATTCTTTTCCTTTATCAGAACTAATTTTGTTATTTCCAAGATTTAAAGAAGTTATTGTAGTATTTTTACAAAGTATCTTAATTAATACTTTTATTGCTTCAGGTTCAAGATCAATATATTCCATAGAGATAATAGTAGTGTTTTTATAAAGATTTTCAAGTATTATTTTGTTACAAATAGTTCCGTTAAGACTTAAATGCCTAAGTTTTTTACTTGTTCGTAGAAACATTGCAATCAAGGAACATTTAACTGCATTTTCAAGCTTATATCCAGTTTCGTAGTGTTCATAATTTATCCAATTTTTGATTCCATAATACAAATGATTGCTAACCGATTTAATATAACATGTATATTCAAATAGTGGTCTTGGATAATCTGGAATAATAATTTTATAAGGAATTAATAGTGCTCGTTCTTCAGCATTTAATGTTAAAAGAAATATGTTTATAAGTCTTCTATCAGCATGGTGGATTGTTGATTTACTCCATAATATTGGTACAATAATCCTACACCATTGACGATTTACAAGAAGACATGAAAATAAGTCAGTTCGGAGGTTGCTAAATATTTTATAGAAGCATTCAACTGGTAGTGCTAACATATTAAATGGATTATTGATTGTTATTTATGAACGTACGTACGTACGTACGTACAAATTTTCAGCCGAATATAAATACTGAGTAAAGTGTTGTGAAACGTTGCAATTCATTTGTTCTGCATTAAATTTTTATAACTTTATTACCTAAATTGAGAATTAATTGGCTTGAACCATGACTTAGTTTCTTATTGATGTGAAGTGGAAACGTGACATCGATCATATATAGTTTTTTTTCCTCTAGTGCAATGTTGATAATATTTGCGATCTCTACAACATAAGCATTTGTAAAGGTATCAAAACGATGTATTTCTCCCTTGGGAAAAAAGCAGCGCTGTAAAAAAATAACCAACCAAAGAAAACAATGACTAGGTGTAACATGAAAATTGGAAAGTTCAAACCACTGAATAAAGTGTAAAAATTCAAAGTAATAGAAATTTTAATCAGGAATGTAGAGGGCATAGGAGCCGTTAAATCTCTACGACTTTAAAAATCCAGAAATGTAGCCTTTAAATTGGTTAGCTACGAATTCGGTGATTACTATTGTATAATGTATAACTTGTTGTTGTAATGCTAAGAATTAGATCTAGGTATGTTACCGGTACGATCACATGCCAAATAATATTGTTGTGCCTGAAGTTGACATCTGCTTGAAGTTGGAACTTCAGGCACCTGAAGTTGGCACCTGCCTAAAACTGCTAGCTAGTGCGTGTAGGATGATCTATTTTGAGTCAGGTGCAACTTTAATCGGGTGTCAACTTCAGGCACAGTACGATCACATGAAATGTGGAATGTTTAACATTTTGCAGATATTGATATATTTAGAATAGATCATTAATATACCAGTACGATCACATGAAATGTGGAGGGATGGTTGCGTTCAACTTTTTGGTGCGCTATATTTTTTTCCTATTTTAGAAGGTATTATGGTTATCACTTTTTTTCCTATTTTAGTGGTCGGCTGAAGCGGAGTGAAGTT